AGCCTATCTGTCTGAACAGCAAAGTGTCTTACCTGTGTATCTATCAGATAAAAATGTTAATAAAGACTTATTGCCCCTACTCTCCAGACTAGAAAATTAAAGCTCAATAAGAATCCTTTCTCAGAGGTTCTCCAATGGCGGTACTAACAGAAGTTCTAAGAATCTTGTACCTTAAAATATGACAAGATAAAATATTAACAAGGTTGTTTATAACAAGTAAAACTACCCTTACATGATTACTTGCACAAAATTACAAGCAGTGATGAAAGCTGAGTCCCATCCACACAGAAGGAGAAACAGATTACTAAACAAGGCCCAACCAGCCTACCCAGAGATGCCATTTTTATCTGGGGTTGGATGGCAGTCTTGGAAGTTAATTCAGATTTCCTCCCACTTGGTTAAATGACATGTAATCTGAATTTAACAAAGGCTTAGTTTTGAGGTGTCTCAAGCCATGTACTTTAAAAGGCAGCTACGATACTCTGAACAAAAAAGAACAGAGAAAGGCAACCAAAGAAAGCCTTTTCTATCAAATAATTTTTTTTAAAAAGAAGACCCGAGTGTGGTTACATAGATTTAAATGGAGAGGGACAACATGCTTTAATTCTCTATCCATGAATACTTCATTCCAGTTAAGTTTGAATTTGTCCCAGAACTGTGTGAGAGCTGTAATATGAAAAGAACTACTCTTCATACACCCAAACTTTTTCTGCAGCAAAGTAGGCCTTTACTTATATTGGGCTACTATGGAGTTCTAACAGATGTTACTGAAAAACATTTTCTTTTCTCACTTATCCTGGTGTCACAGTACTTGAAATTCTGTAATTAAGACATTAATTTCTTTGGGTTCTCTTGCCTGACATCTTTTAAAAATACAAACACTCCTGGAATTGATAACACATTAAATTAACTTGCATTAAGATCAAAGGATTATGAGACTTAAAACTGTAAGGGATTTTCAAAATTATCTAAATGTAGGACTTATTAAACTGTAACTGCCCCAACTCATTTCATATAGTGTCTAATTTGAATTTTCTATGAGCTTTCCCATTATATGTATGATATAAACACAGACATGTATAATATGTTTGCTTCTTATTTTGTAATTTAAAATGTCACCTCCTCCCTGAAAAATGCGAATAAGTTGATATGTTGCTTGCTATAGAATATACACAAGCATAGATACATTTATAGATATCTACATTGATATTTAAGGCCTTTTCCCCTCTTACTGGGAACCTTGTGTATTGGAAGGACATATTCTCCCTCCCTTATGGCAGCCATGTTGGTATTCATATGTAGAATACTAAGAAAAAACAATAACCACCTCCATAAGGCTTTTGATTCTCATTTGAAAAAACATTCCAAGGGCATCCTTCTGACACTGCTCCTGAACTCCCTGGGCAGATCAATTATATAGTATCCTGTAAGTGTTAATTGTTTCTGCTTTCACCACTAAAACTAGCTAAGGTCCACCACCATCCCTACCACCACCCTACTTTCTCCAATTGTACCTTTGTAGATTAGTGTTCATCTGGGTTCAAAAAGCCTAATGGTACCTGGCATCATAGATAACCCCCTCCACACCCCTACTTATTAGCTATCCTTGAATTAATAGGAAAATATTCCCATATCATATTCTCACTGTCATCAACCAATTCCTGCATACAAAGATCTCAAAGCACAGATCTGGAAGCAGATACCTCACTTCCAACAATCATTATTCTGGAACTCACATCTCTACCACAAGAAGTCAAAAATAGGACTTTCCTGAACAAAATGGCAAACCTGGGAAACTATTTTTTTGAGAATCATTACAATCATTCCGAACTTGGAAACTTATACAATTACCCCAATCTGGATGCTTATCTGGAGGCCCACAGAATCTCATTCCTGTCTCCAGCTAACTCTAAAGAATATTGTTTAATAAATCTCTTTTGAACACATCTTATATATGATTTCTCCCTTTTTCCCTTCCCTAAGTGTGGATGCTGTCAATCATATATTCACTCATTTGAAGAAGCATTGCTGTCAAATAAAGAAAATGAAATGGATGGAACAAAATGATTAAGTCTCCTTGTTTTTAAACTTCTCAAGCTCAAACAACCCTCACTGCAGTTCCTGTAGAAAATTACTCTAATTTACTAATCCTTTTTTACTAATTACTAATCCTAATTTACTAATAATTTTACAGATGAGGAAACTGAGGCCCACAGAGGCAAAGGGACTTATTCAAGAATAGTAGTATTTTAGAAGCTTATGAAAGAAGAACCTTGGAGCACTAAGTGCATTGGGTATGTGTAGTGATGGTAGGGGAAAAGGGGAAAGAATGGACACAGAAAAAGGAGACATGGGGCACGAAAATCAATGCAACTGCTTTACAAATTTTTCTGAGGTTTGGCCTTGACTCTAAAATCTGTACAATAAGTTTCATGAAGCCATGTTAAATATGCAATGTGGGAGAGTAATGTATAATATCCTTACATAGTATGAAAGCCGGAGTGGATAAAGGCAAAATAAAGCAGACTTCATAAATAAAGCAGCTTGGTATCCATGGGAAAGTAACAAGTGCTCTCTTACTCAGATGATTCTCAGATATAAGTCACAGAGAAGGCATCAAAGTGCAACCATGGAAGGAGTTGCTACACTGGAAATTACTTACATTGATAAAATCACAGGTCCAGGAACTGACTTACATTGTAACCCGAATTATATCAAAAAATGAGGAGAAAGAATGGCTATTTGTACACTACTCAAAGAATTTCTCAGAATTGTAAATCATAAAGATAAAGAGATGAAAATCCATTTTAATGACTTTTAAGGGTCATTAAAATTTTTATGATGTATCCAAATCTCATTAAAATGGAATCTGTTACTAGTAGATAAAGAAGAGGCAAACTATATTTTAAAAATCTTGGTATACACAACATATGAAAAAAAAAGGTAAGTGGAATGAGGAGAGTGTTGTCCATCTATTTCTTCTCAGATCTTTCTAGGTAGAAAACAAAAACAAAACAAAACACTGATGAAGCACTTTTTAATCTGTCAACTACTATGATCTATTCTACTTAATTATGGTGATTCAAAGTTACTTTGGCAAATGAATTTTGTTTACTCTAGTTCTCTAGTCTTTGAATTGTTTTGGTCTCTATCCCTGAGATCTATGAATGAAATCAGTAACCTAACGAATTAGATGATAAAAATGAAATACATGTGGAAGAAATTCAGACCTTGTATTCATCACATAGCAACATGGGTTAGGGGCCCAGAGAAATCAAATGAGCTGACCAAAGGTTATCTTGTAGTGGGAATATGAACAAAAGATCGGAAATCTGTCTTCAAGTGGATAGAAGGTCATGGAAGGTAGCCGGTGAGTAGACAGAATACCAGGTCTTCATCTTTTTTTTTTTTTTTGTGACGAAGTTAAAGGTCTAATTCAGTGTTAATAATGCCTTTACCCTGGATTTTTGAAAAGACTTAGGGACTTCAGTCCTACCATGGATCTGTTTCACTTTTCATTAAAATAAAAGCCTATACTTATACGCTGCATTACAGTTTACACAGTGAATAAGACCTCCAAGCTGCTGGTAGAACAGCAATAATGTGATATTCTTTTCAAAATATCTCAGGCACAGAAAGCAGTCCAGCAGAAATTGAGTACAGACCAATATTTTATACCATTTACCAAGATAAGGATCTAGATATAAAGGGCGATATCATAAGTAAATTAGAAGAATACGAAATATATTACCTATCACACTTATGGATAGGAGAACTTATGAATAAACAAGAGATGGAGAGCATTGTGAGATGTAAAATGGATAATTTTGATTACATTAAGTTAAAAAGTTTGTACAAATAAAACCAATATAGCCAAGATTAGAAGAAAAGCAGAAAATTGAGGAAAAAAATTTTTATAGACAGTTTCTGGGAAAAAGGTCTCAAATCTCAAATATATAGAGAACTCTGTCGAATTTATAAGAATATGAGTCATTCCCCAATTGATAAGTGATCAAAGGATACAAACAGGCAGTTTTTTGATGAATAAATCAAATTAATACATAGTCCTATGGAAAAAATGCTCTAAATCATTATTGAATAGAGAAAAGCAAATTAAAACAACTTTGAGATATCTCATACCTATCAGATTGGCTAAAATGATAAAAAGGGAAAATGACAAATACTGGAGGGGATGTGGAAAAATTGGGACACTGATACATTATTGGTGGAACTGTGAACCGATACAACAATTTTGGGGAGCAATCTGGAATTATACCCAAAGAGTTATAAAACTGTGACCCTTTGACCCAGCAATACCACTATTAGGTCTGTTTCCCAAGGTGATCAGGGAAAAAGAAAAAGCACCTATATGTTCTAAAATATTTATAGCAGCTCTCTTTGTAGTGGCAAGAACTGGAAATTGAGGGGATGCCTATCAAATGGTGAATGGCTAAACAAGTTGTGGTATATGATTGTGATGGAATATTAATGTGCTATAAGAAATGATGAGCAGGATGATTTTAGAAAAACATGGAAAGACTTGCATGAAATAATAAAGAGTAAAAGAGCAGAACCAAGAGAAAGTTGTATACAATAATAGCAACATTGTTTGAAGAATAACTGAACAACTAAGTTATTCTGAGTATTATAAATACTGAAATCAACTATAAAAGACCTATGAAAGAAGATGCTATCCATCTCCAAGAAAGAATTGATAAACATAAGTATGCACAGTATGGTTTTATATACATGTTATGTATGTGTCAGATGGTGGTCTTCTCTAGTAAAAGGTGGGAAGGAGGGAGAGAGACAAGTCAGTACTTAAAATGTAACAAGAAAAAAATAAAAATATCTCAGTCAATCAATTTAAAATTTCTATAAAGCACCTCTCTTTGTTTACTGTTTGCTGTCAATAAAATCAGAGCGATATCTAATCTCCAAAAATATTCTCCCTGAAACCAACCTAAATGGTAAAAAGAACAATTCAAATCTCTGATTACCTTAATATTCATGACTGTGATGTCCCTGGACCTCTGTTTAAACTTGGTCCAAAAAGGTGACATGCCTTGTTAGGAAGTCCATTTTTAGTATGTACTGCTCCAGTATCTTTGCTAAGAAAACCCCAAAATTGGGTCACGAAGAGTCAGATATGACTGAAATGACTCAACAACACAACTGTTTTTAAAATTGACAGAAAACTTCCTAGTTGAAAGTATTCACTTGGACAACTCAGTTATGAGTCTTCTGCTTTCCATTCCTTTTTATCTTCTTGATAGGCAATCATTGATTTAAAGCTGCAACAACAAAAATGAAAAGCAACCTCAAATTGTCTTCATGCTGAGACATTCCTGGAAAAGGCCATAATGTAAACCTAAAAACCTACCTAGACATTGACGGAGTCACCTTTTAAAGCTAATTCCAATGCAATAGAAAATAAATGACCAGGCGCATTCTATGCACTCCTAACCTTCATCCAAGTCAAAGCAACAAAAATATGACAAACTTGGGACTGACCATAATAAGGCATCTCAAGGTACCTGTACTCCTGAAAAAGAGAAGTTTCCAAAATATGATACCAAATTTAGAGAGAATTTAGAAAGGTTATCTGTTCATGTAACTATATAGCTACTTGAGCCTGACAGAGTCATGCCTCCAAATAAACTAGAGATGTTTATCATGCTGAGGAATGATCCAATAGATTTACTGAGGAAAAAGCATTCCCATAGGCTTGATTAGTCGGATTTGGTCTCTGCCTCTGACTACTCAGTGTCTTCACCTAATACGTGCTGATCTGACAAGCCTCCTTGTTTTTCACATGGGAAAACACCATTCTTCTCAATCTTCCCTTCTACCTCTTACTACCCTTCCTGAATCCTCTGAACAGTCTTCCTGGCCTCTGATCTACTTAGATTCATAGAATTAAAGATGGAAAGGGCCCTGGAAGAAGGCCCAGCAAGCAAAGAAACTTGCTAAAGGTGACACAGATGGGCAGGAAGAAGCAGAGCTGGCATTCCAGCTCAGGGCCTCTGACCTCAAGCCTACTGCTCTTTGCACCAAGCCGTATGTATATATGTATGCATATATGTGATATAAATTATACAGACATTATCATATTTTATATGTTTTTTGTATTGTTTTTAAATTTTTTTATTTATTTATTTTACCATATTTTACTATCAGCCTCTTCACAACAAAAATAACCTATCAGGTACCTTTCTCTGACCCTGATGGAAGAACATGGTATCTTTCTTATAATATGGTAAGTGACATCAAGTGAAAAAGATTCATCGACTCGATCCTTTCAGGCAGAACTAGAACCAGTGAGTGGAAAGTACAGAGATGCAGATTTCAATTGAACAGTAAGGAAGAATTTCCTAACAATTAGAACTACCTAAAAATATAATAGGCCACCTCCAGAGGCAGATTCTGCCAATGAAGTTCTAAATGATCCTTTTCTCAGGCATGATATATAGAAGAGTCATGCTAAAGGCAAGGATTTGCATCTTTCAAAGACTTTCCATATCTAAGTTTCTATATTTCTGCTCATATTTTGTCTCCTTAGCAGAGGAAGTAAGATCTAAGTCAATTCCCCTTTATCTAATCACCTTGTGACTACTACTATTGCTAGGTTTTACCCAAACCAACTCCATCGTCTAATTTCCCTACATAGAAAATAAAAGCAGAGCAAAGATTCACTTTTTTTGTGATTAGTTGGTACTATCAGTATAAGAAAGATAGTTTCCTGGAACATTTAGAAATGTATTTAGTCTTGACTACACAGGCTCAATCACTTTTCAGATTCCTCAGATAGTCCTGATGTTAGCTGGATCATGAACATGGGACAGCTGGTGTCCCTTGGGCATCAGCCTTGAGCTGCACATGAAATTGACCAAAGGTGGCAGAGAACTAGGGAGCAACCTGTTGGCCCATAATAACACGGCCATTATAAATTAAGGGAAGATAAAAAGCTAATGAGCGAAAAACAAATAATCGGTAAGATGACTCAAGTGGACAGAGAACATGTTATTTGGAAAAATCCAAAGAATTTTAGCATTTGAGATTAAATAATGCGTTTGAAGATTTTGTCAGAGTGCAACTCTTGGGTCTGTTGACTCATCTACTCTTCTAGATAGTGAAATGGAAACATACCAGACCTTAGAGAACACATAAATATTGCAGAACTTTTTTTTTTTAAGCTAAACATGCATTGTTTTCCTAAGTGTAAAGAGTATAGCATTTGGCAAAATAACCTCTCAACTATGTCTTTTCAGGTGAATAATAAAAATGACAGAATATTTATTAAGTTTAACTGATTCAGAGGCTTAAAATAAACAATCCTCAAAGTCTCTGTTCCTGAGAAAAATTTCAAGTTTGTGTAAAATCCACATAAGCAGTTGAGACATGGATCATAACATTGTGAATAGTTAAAAACAGAATACCTGTGCATTTTACTTTTAGTCCTTGCTAACATATGATTTTTATAATTTGGAGAATTGTGCTGCTTATAAAATGGCTTAGAAATAGTAATGAGATATTTGTCCACTCTTATTTTCAATATTTTGATAAAATTTTCTTATCACATGGTTAACTGCTATTGATTTGAACAGAAGAAGCACTGCCTTACCATGAAAAAAAATTACTTCACTAATTAACTTTCATGATCCTTCCTTCTATGTAGACTTTTCTTCTGGTTTGTCTGATGAAGAGAAGCTTTTCTAACCTCCATGTTTCATATGGCTGGACAAATATTAGAGAATTATCTCTATGACGTCACTCTGCTTGGTGCTTATTTCTGAGAGTTTAAGACAATGTTTCATCTGTCTCAGCCTCGCTTGTCTTTCAAACAACAAGAACAAAAAAAAGGCTGTGTTATGTAGCACAAGGTCAATGCAATGGAGTATAATTAAGATAAAGCTGAAAAGGAGAAAAAACGGGTCACTAAATGTAGCACATGAAAATAATGTATGTATCTACTCTATATGAGAAGTGAGAAACTTTCTGATCAGACCCCCTTCCCCCCATTATAGCATTCTCTGACATTTCCACAAAGATGAGATTTTTGCGAAAATGTTTGTTTTGATATACAATACCACAAATAAATGTTCTTGCTAAAAAACTAAAACAGGTATTTCCAAATTGGAAGTGTTTGAGGACCACACAAACGTTTTAACCAAACTACCCTTTTTGACTAAAACATGTCCAAACGGACTGCTTTCTTGTAAAGCAAACTTTTTTTAAAAAAAGAGGAAACATTTGTTAGTGAAAATGTAGCATTCAAGGTTCAAACAAAACAACTGTAACAATTCACCTTTCACTCCTAATAATCTTTCATCTATTAGAGGTATGCAAATGCTTCAAAGGAGAACATCAGGCTGAAGTATCTAAAATGTATCTGCTGCTTCATACCCTAACTGTAAGGAGCTACTTCTTATTTCTCTAACGTCCTGATCAGGATCATCTATGAGTGGACAAGCTTTGGCAGCAAATGCACTCCTCGGGGATTTGATCCCTCTGGCAGTCCCAGAAAACTTCTAGGTAGAAGGAAAGTGACAACTCTCTTGCAGTGTCACCAAGTATAGCTGGGGAAAGCTGAGAGATCCGCTGGTTGGGGCTGCCTGCTTTCTAACATTTATTAGGCATTTACAAAGCATAAGAACGGTATTACTTGGAGGTGAGGGCTGAGGGTCAAGAGCGAAGGGAATCCTGTAATTGCCAGTGTGTTTGAGAATGGACATGAGAACAAAGTAAGAAAAATTTGACAGCTATGATAAGAACCAAAGGTCAGTCAGTCAGTAAGAATGTATTAAGTGCTTAATATGCTAAGCATTGGGGATATGAAGGAAGGAAAAAAAAAACAGCCGTTACCCTTGAAGAGTTTATATTTGGGAAATAACAATATTTATATAGCAGTTTTAAGGTTATCAAAGTTCATTATATTCATATATTATATATTATATTATATTCATTATTCATATATTCACATTATATTCACTATATTCATATATCTCATTTAAAACAACCACCTTGCGAGGCAGGTATTACAAGAATTATTATCATTATTTTTCAAGGAACTGAGGCTTAACTAAGCTAAGTGACATACTCAAGGTGTCACACTTAGTGTTAGGGCCCAGATTCAAGCCTGTCTTCTTGACTTCTAGCCTAGTCTAGGCGTCACAGCCTAGCACATAAATGCTATTGAGAGAGGGGAGCAGAAAAGGACATGAAACAAGAAAGGTCTGTACTTAGTAGGAAAGGGATAGAGTAATGGAGGAGAGGGTAGGTCACTGCTGAAGATATGAAGTGAGACGAGGTCAAGAAGACAACTTAGCCAGTTCATCATTAGGCATAAAAACTGTTGTTATCTCTGACTTTTCATTAACCTACAACATCCTTTCCCAATTTGATTACTAAAAGTATCACTATATTTGCGTTTATAAACTACAAAGTGAAGCAAAGATTTTAAAATTATTCAGTTGGTTTGATCAATGTAAACAAATCAAATGGATAATTCTGTGCCCCTGCCCAACAAGTAGATTTTGTTTTGACTTAAATTATATAGTTGGTCCAACCACAAGGATCAAATTAACTGGATAATTGCAGATCCCCACTTTGTGCTTGCTAAATTTCACAGAAGTTCAAAATTGTACTTGTAATCCATAACCACAGACTTGCAGTTGGAGAGACTATATCATGAGATGTTAATTTAAAAGCACTTCTTCAGAATCAAAATGGTGGCCCTATTTTTGCCTTTAGTTTGGAATTATGACTCCTGTTGTTCTTACAAGAAATTATACTGACAGATAAGCAATTGCATCTTAAAATCATACTGTTTCAATTCCCAGGAAAATAATGAAAACTTCTCCATGTCTGGAAAAGGTCCAATGGCAACAACAATAAAATTAATGAATGGAATTTGTTAAAACTGTTCATTTTTTCATATGTGCAGAACCAGCATTCATTTCATGGCATTATTTGGCTTATACTATTCTCCTCCAAACATATTTGGATCTATCTGCTTTAGAAATTCTGTGGTTCCAAGCAATAATGAAGTTCGGTTACTTATGAGTCAAAAGTCAAATCTACTC